GTAAGTTTGGATGTGCGGGTGATGCAGTGAACAACGGCTTGGAATTGTTAATCATAATTGAATTATGAATAAAAAGAATTAAAGAATTAACAGGTCATAAGAGTTGCTCGTCAACAGGATGCCTAAAATCAACGACGAAAGAGGACAATCTGCAATAGACAAATATATGGAAGAGTATTATAGAGTATCACAATCATCATTCCCTCATGCATGGGCACCTCGACGTGGTATAATTGTTAGCAAGCTTTCCTCCCTAGATCAGTTACGACTGAATATTGAGTTCGATCCTAACTGGCTGCTTCATACTTTCGGCCTTTTACCACATTTAAGGTACGCTTAGAAAAAAGGGTACTTTGATGTGGTGTAATGGTCAGCAAGCTGGTCTGGATAGATCAATTACGACTGTATAGTGAGTTCGATCGTTACTGGGTATCCTATACTTTCGGCCTTGTGCCGCATCTTGATGTCACGATGGGATAAACATAAAAAAATGTATTTATACACATTTTGTTCTTTTCCCAAAGATGAGGTAGTTGGATCTATATGAATTTAATCATGGGAAATATATATATATATATATATATATATATATATATATATACTCTTATAACTATAAGAAATTATACTCGTTTGGAAAACCTTCGGTGTCTTGATTTGCGAATAATCAAACCAATACGAAAGGGGAAAAAAGGTATTAAAAAAAAGAAAGAGCCAAGAACATGTACGTTAGCCGAAAGTAATCGTTTAGCATGCAAGTCCAACCCCCAAAGAATAAAAACGCAATACGAGTAAGACAAAATAACTAAATAAAGTGCTCAATACAGTAAGTAGAGCAGACCTAGTTAAACCTAGAGAGCCAAACAAACCTACCAAGGTTTCACCTAAGTGGATCGTCAGAGAAGGCTGGATTCCTGACGATCCGCTGAAGGTGAAACCTTGGTAAGTTTGTCTAACTCTCTAGGTTTAACTAGGTCTGCTCTACTTACTGTATTGAAGGCTGGCTTCCCTGACGATCCGCTTAGGTGAAACCTTGGTAAGTTTGTTTGACTCTCTAGGTTTAACTATATATATATATATATATATATATATATATATATATATATATATATATATATATATACAGAATGCGAAAATTATCGCGATTTTATATTTTAATTTCGTGCATACGCGTTGTTTGTTTTTGATTTTGTCAACTTCTCAGTATAGTAGGGTTAGTTGGACACTGTTCGTTAGAAAAAGGAATATCATGACGCAATTCACTCCGCCATACATTTGGAAACGACATGATGTACTACTTGGCATTGTCGCCGGAAGCTCCAATACGAACATTTTAGAGTATTTGGGTGTCAATCTGAGGCCAGTGCAGAAGATTCAGAAAGTATTAGATTAGTCTAATGGTGATTACGAAGGTACGGCAACTCGGAGAACTCACTCTGATCGTTGTGATAAGATAAGAACTCCTGAATTTCTTGGTGAGGCCCTCAAACTCGACACATCAAGTGCCTTGATAAGGTAATGCTGCCCTGGGCCAAGAGTGTGGATGCAGGACGCTGCACCATGCCACACAAGCAGTCAGACATATTCTGCGACTACATCACCCCTTACAACTGGCAACCTAACTACTCAGACTGCAATCCCCTTGATTATTATGTGTGGGGTCAAAGTTGAGCGAGAGACCAACAAAACTCTTTGTAACACCAAAGATGAACTGAAGACAAGGATTATGGCAGCATTCACCAACTTAAACAAGGAGACCTTCCAGTAAGGATGCAGAATATTGCGAAGTCGTCTGGAGGCCATGGTTGAAGCCAATCGCGATTTTATTGAATAAAATTACTCTTTAGTATTTCAAGATATTTGTTTAATTTTGGCAAATATATCTGTTAAAATGTGATGTCGTTATTATTTTCATTTTTGCATAATATAGATGATAATTTATCCATCGCACCATGTATAAGGTGTGCTTGTTTGTAAAATTCATATATAAAGATATCTAAAATGCCTACATAAAGAAAAGACAAGAACCCTGTATATGTGTGTGTTCAATAATATATGATATATTACATTTGGAATATACGCTTACATGTATGTCTAAAATGGGTAAAATTGGCCCATAATGGACAAGAGTTCATAGGAAATTGAGTTACTGGAGTGCAAACCGTCGAATTGAGAAAAAGATCTTCACAACTGGCCTGAGAACGATTCATTCAGCTGATGCACCTGCATGAGTTTTAAAAGAGCAGAAAGCATGAAAATAGAACAAGGCGATCGAATGAAAACCGTTTACCTAAGACAGCCATGATCATTAAAGAAAATTGGAGAACAGGTCGAATTCAAAACCTGCACTATACAAAATATCCCAAGCTTTCTTTCGATGCTTATATATATTGTCTATCTGTAGTCGTGCCTTTCTCCTCTCCTCTCTCCTCTCCTCACCCCTCTTTCTCACCCTAGATATCGATGTGTGTGCAAGAATATAAACTGATGAGCTAAAACATTAGAACCAGCGACACGTGTCAAGAATAGCTACTGTTTTGCAACAATTGTACACATCAAGATTATAGATCGTCTGGCCTCGAGTACTTCATTTTGATATGCTGAACACCGAATTTTTAAGAAAAACAAGATCAAGACCAAAACATTTTCGATATAGCGCTGTCTGTAGAGTGTTCATGTTCTCTTCTGTTGTGCCCCTATTGGCAATGGTCCGAAGAGGAACAAAATCATTTTTCGCCTACAAAACATTCGTTAACCAAATATTGTACGTGCGAGAAGTGAATGGAGGCTTCCTCGCTAAGTACAAACCAACATAAAGGCTAATACAGCACAAATTCCTTAAAGCTTTAATTAAGGTGAAAAAATTACTCACAACACAAAACAGTCGAGGTCTTTATATTATCTCTTCTAATACCTGTTCTGACAGCCATTTGTACAGACTTGTTAGGTAGGCTATTAGTAGAATGTGGACGATCGTGGCTCTCCACAACTTTCTCTTCTTACTAATGATTGTCTTTTTGTTATCTTTTCTAATACCTGAATATATGTATATTTATGTTGTTTTTTTGGAGGGGTGCATTGATTGTCATTTTGCTATAAAAATATTGCTGATCATTTTATTATAAAAATGTACTGTTAACTTTTGCTTGATGTTTCACTATTTGCCCAGAGCTGGGACCCTAACAGCTGCTTCCACTCCGGAACTAGGAACAACAGCAGTTAAGACGTGATTCAACGTTCCTCAAAAACTCTAATTTCCCGAGTAGATACCTTGCTGCCAGATGTAGTTTATCGTCATATTGTTATATACCGTACCTATGAACACTAATGGGTAAATACGTTGAACACTTTTGTAAGTGGGGGTAATATGTTGTCTAAGTAGTCCACCACAAGCAGTGGTTTACCTACTTCACGCCGCTGGCGAGTATTGTATTTTGTTGATGTTATAAAGATTCAGTCAGTCAGTCAGTCAGATTCACTCAGTTAGTTATGTGCCATATGTGATACACGATACATGACTGGCGATATTACTAGCTGGGATCTGTTGAGTACGACTCAGACTTACGCGTGACCTACCGACCTTCCAATAGTAGCACTCACTACTAGATTGACTTGCGACGACCTTGTGCATAACTGTTACCTTTATTTTTTTCGTAGTAGGTTGCCATTTCTTTCTGCGGTAGACCAGTTGCCATCCTATAGAACCCGATATTTTTTCCTGCTATTTACCCATAGCTGGGGAGAAGAAGAGGATTCATACCTTTCTCAAGGTATTCATACTTTTTCCACATAAGTGAATGTAATGGATGTTACAGTTTTTTGTGTATATGTGACTAGTGAGTTAGTGAAAATGACTTAACTCCCTTTATAGTCTACCAATAGAAGATTAACCAATCAGAAGCCGCAGAACATTGTATCCGTCGTGTATAAAGGCGGCCATCTTTGTTTATCCTACCGGAATGACCAGTGCCAACTTGTCAGGCGAAGGGGACAGAAGGAAGAACTACGCTCTGCTATTTTGCTGCGATATCCACTGCGAACCTGAACTACGCTTTCTTACTGTCTCCGAAATATTCACTGCCAACCTCTGGATTCTATACTCGAAGACGACCGTCATGAATTTGTAACAATGGATTCATACTGGAATTCGAAATCGGCTCTCAGATTCCGAGCAACTATCTATTACCGTGCCTCCTAGATCTTATAAAAATGACTATTTCATTTCCAAAGCACCGTCTTGGTTATTTCTCATTCAGTAACTCTTCCTATATTACAACACATACCCAGGACGAACAAAATTCTGGAAACACGCACATACAAAAAAAAAGATAAAGAAAGAAAAGAATTTCTAATGTAGAGCAATATCTAATCTCTCAAACAATTGCAAATATAGAAATATCGATCCTTAGTTCGACTTCTGCGATTGGCACTTTCTGCCAGAACAAATTATGTTAAGGAAATATCGATATCCGAACTACTGCCAGTCATGAAGAACGGATGTTCCCTGGAGGAAACACCGTGCTTTGAAGAGAGAATATTGGGCTTCAAATTTACACCGGACCTCAGTATATGCAGTAGGTACTTGGCGAGTGTGTAACTCCGACATTATTTATACCGTTTCTTAATCAGTTGATAGCTAATATCCAACAACGCACAATGGCACATGAGGAAAAGAATAACAAGCGAAGGCCATTAGAAATACGATTTGTAAGGTTTATATTTAGTTACGGTAAGAATTTGGCTATAGAAGAAAATTGTTTGAACGCTCTTTGAATAATTTTCTCTGTTTACATGCCATACCTTCATTCGAATGAACTAAATTCTTGATTATGCCTACAAACTCCTCGGAGTTTTTCACACCACCTCGCTTATTCTAATTCGCGCACTTATTGGATTTTGTAAACATTTCCTCGTTCACCTTATTCTAAAGACATTTTATTTTGTATAAAATGGGTTTAGAATTACATAGGCATAGAGATGTCGTGAGTCAACAACAAACGCAAATGGACGTTACAAAGTTTCTTTCACTATCTATTGTCAGGTTTATAAGTTCAATCCTTAACTAAAATCAATTCATTTAATCTTTAACATTTTCTATATCTATCTATCTATCTATCTATCTATCTATCTATCTAATCTCAGTCAGTTTTCTATCTATCAATCGCACTCAATTTATCTGTCTACCTATCTATCCAATATCAATCAGTTATCTATTTATCTAATCTCAGTCAGTTATCTATCTATCTATCTATCTATATAAAAGGCAGGATGTGTGTGTGTGTGTGTGTGTGTGTGTGTGTGTGTGTGTGTGTGTAACGAATGCATGGCCGCAATTTTCGACGGGTTGGCACCAAAATTTTCATGCACATACTCCTAGTTAACGGAAAGGCCAAGACCGACTTTGCATTTCGCAACTCCCATCGATAGTGGAAATAATCGATTTTTTTCATACTTCTACGGCAGTTTTCATGTAGTTTGCGGCCATTTTGCACTGGTCAGAGTGAGAGCCTATAGCTGGCTGCCACGAATAGGCAGGAAGATTCTATTGGCCAGCGTGAGAGCCAACAGCTGACTGACAGGAATGTGTAGCATGCTAGCAAAAAAAAAAAAAAAATCGATAGCTGCATTCGTCACAACTGGGAAAAAATTTAAATCTGCATGGCACTTTACTCCAATTGGCTCATTCGCTTGCTTAAACTCAACGTTGATTCTGATTCCGCAGAACTGGGTTGGGTGTGAAAAAAGTATTTGTTGTTAACATTCTTTTTTCATTCGGTTTTTCCAGTTACGAGTCCTTTTTAAAGCTGATCGTTTTGTGTTCATTTTGTTTAGTTCTTTTTTTTCGTAACAGATTTAATGTTTAGTATAGAGCTTAGAAAAAAATTTTCAGTGTGAGATAGGCAAGAAGTAAGGCATGTAGCAACATCAGCACGGAAAAGGGCACTCCTAAAAAGGCAAGGAAGGGCAAAATATTTTAAGTCATGTGATAGCGATTGCTGTATGAGTCGTACGATTTTTGAATCAAGCACGGGCAACGCCGGGCCATGCTGCTAATATATATATATATATATATATATATATAATGAAATATATATTATGAAATTGACTAAATCCGGCAATTATTTTAATATATTTTTTGTTTATACGTTAGTTTTATAGATACAAATAATTAAGTAAATGTTCTGTTCATAATAAACAGTATTAACAACATTATCCGGCCTGAATGTTTAAAAACAGTAATTTGACATTGCTAACCAGACGCTTTCTCTGTAGCTAAATGGTATGCCACGTCAGGTTATATGATGGTTACGTGAAGGATACACTGTTCGATTCCTGTCGGGGGAGACATATTTTCTATGTAATTTCTCGGAAATTCAGGCCGTTAAATGTAGTTAACCCTGTATATTATAAACAAAGCATTTACTTAAATATTTGTATCTATAAAAATAACGTATGAACAGAAAATATATTAAAATATCTATTTATATATCTCTTTAATCTCAGTCAGTTTTATCTATCTATCTATCTATCTATCTATCTATCTAATCTCAGTCAGATAACTATCTACCTGTCTAAACTTATAAAAATAATGTATAAACAGAAAATATATTAAATAATTGTCAGACTTAACCCATTTCATAATATGCTATCATTTTTTATGTTAAGATCTGTTTCATGAGCAGAAATGATCGATCGAGAAAAATCGTTCTAGGTGTGTGATTATTAACAGTAATCCGGACTTTGCTAACTATTGTGAAACCGGAACTAACTACACAATAGACTCTTCCAGGTCTATATTAAGAATGCGACACAACACTCTAGACAGTGACAGAGTGACATAGAGCCGCGTACGACTACCAGTATTGGACACTAACATATAGTAAGCTCCGCTTACACTATCTCTGTAACCTGTTGTTAATATATCTTTCTTACATCTAATCCGTGTTCCGTGTTTTTACTTCTGTGGTCCCAAACATCTTGGCACGATTTTTAGAAACATCAGTGGCGACGAGGATTCGGAAGAAACGCACTCATGGCTAAACTAAAAATATTTTGCCAGTCCCACATCGGTGGCGACAGAAAGATTCGAGAATTTCGTTCTCACCATATCAATAGCGACAGTACTCGAAAAAACATTTAAAAATCCACGCGTTCCCACAGTTGTGTTGAACGAGAAAATTATGCTGGTATTACTACATTAGCGATTTAAACGCAACACCCAGCGTCTACACATAAAAAAAATATATATTCCGATACCAAACAGCAGTGACCAACTAGCGATTCGACATCTACGGAATATTAAAGTCTGTCCAAATAACATTACGAGAACGATTTCTTACACACTCACACACAGAAGAAAAAAAACAGTTTGTCATAAAACAAACTGACAACACAAAACCGGAAGTACTACCATACGACTCAAGTTTTCGAAAAGAAAAACTATCTAATTGTTTTTTTATGTAACTGAGTTGAACTCGTGCATAAAATTATTCTCCCCTCAAATTCACTGAGGTGAGTTTTCTCTTTTTGTACCTCTATAAAAAAAAACACATAAGTGTGGTGAAAAATTATTCAATTACGTTAAAATTAACGGAACCACGGAAAAAAAACTAAAACACATAATTAGTTTAGTTTAACGATTGCAATCTGTCCATATTTTTTTCATGTAAAAAAAAAAAAAAAGGAACAAAAACCTATCAAGATTTTTTGTGTACCTGGTTTTTTAGTATCTATCTGTGTTTCAAAGCAATTAAAAAAGCGCTGCCATTTTTAAATATGGAAGATTTGCAAAAAGTAGTTGCCCAAATGTTAAAACTAAAAGTTGGACTAGCAACAAAAATCAGAAGAAAGAAAATAACAATTATTTTTGGAATTACATAAACAACAAATGGAATTCCAACAAATTACGCTTCAAAATGCTGAACTACAACAGAAACAACTTAAAGAATTACTCGTAAATGCATTAAAAGGCTCAAACTCTGAAAAAAGATACAATATTCTCCCAGAGTACAATCTACAATTCAATGGAAACCTTTGAATACGTACCAGAGAACGACAAAAAGTTCGAGGATTTTTTTACAGGCGCTACGAAGATATTTTCAACGTAGACTGTGAACAATGGTCCAGTAAAAAAAAGGTACGTTTTCTATTGAGAAAACTGGGAACTACAGAACATTGTAGGTTCGTAGACTTCATACTACCCAAGAAAACGACTGACTTGGATTTTTCAGAGACTATTAAGCTCCTATCGGAACTATTCGGGCCTAACACAACCTTGTTCCACAAACGTTGGAAATGCCTGAACACAGTCAAAAACAACCAGCAAGATTTTCTAACGTTTGCAGCATCGGTAAACAAGCTCTGTAATGATTTTAAACTAGCCGAACTGACTGCCGATGATTTTAAGTGCTTAATTTTCGCACAATTTCTAGTATCAGCAGAAGACACCGAAGTCAGACGACGGGTACTGACCAAGCTTGAGAACGAAAAGGATTGACTCTCAAAAACTGGCAGAGGACTTTCAAAGAGTAATATCTGAAAAGCGTGACTCAAACACTATCGAGAAATCAGATGTGACTCAGATTAATAAAATCAGAAGTAAGTCTATCTCCTATTCCCCTCAAAAAGACAAAAGGCAAATCTCATGTCCTAAATTCCGCAGTAACCAAAACCCAAATAAGTTAAAGAAACCGCCCGGACCATGTTACCATTGTGGTAAATGGCATTGGATGAAATTCTGTCCAGTTAAGAACAAAAAATATTGAAAAAATTGCAATAAAATTGGGCATACTTTAACTGCTGGTACGCCAACAGAACGAAAAGTTCAAAAAATAAAATTGCTGGTACGCCAAAAGAACGAGAATTTTTAAATACTCATTTGTTTAAACCTTTCGGGTTCTGAAATTTAAAAACTGGCGGAATAAAACACAAAAAATTTATTAAAAACGGATAAAACGCAAAAATCCGTAACTGGCGAAAAAATTAACATTTTAGGCGAGGTAATACTTAGAGTAACACTAAATGGAGTTACCAAAAAACTCAAAGCCTACGTATTAAAAACTTCAGACAAATTATTTGGAACAGATTGGATAGAAAAATCAATCTTTGGGATTTTAATGAAGTACATTTTGTCGCAAGATACAAAGTACAACGTCCAATTTGGTAAATCTGAAAAAAGGAACTCAAACAACAATTTCCCAAGGTTTTTTCTGGCGGCCTTGGGAAATGTACTAAAATGAAAGCTAAATTCAAGGTGAAGGACGGTGCGTTACAACCGGTATTCAAAAAAAAGAAACGGAATGTCACTTTCGCTGCTCTCTGAGCAAATCAACAAAGAGTTAAATAGACTCGAACAAGCAGGTATTCTGTCAAAAACAGATTTCAGCGAGTGGGCAGCACCTACGGTCTACGTTAAAAAAGAAGTCCAATCAAATACGAGCCAACGCGATCAGAAACATGCCGGCCCCAGATAACGTTCAAGCGAAACGTTCAAGCGTTACAAAGCTTCCGCGGCCTGATTTTTTAATTTTTACCAAGGGTTCATTAAGAACATGCAAAATAAAAGAGGACCTCTCAACCAACTTCAAAAAAGGACAAACCATGGTCATGGACCCCGGAATGCCAAGACGTATCGAGAAATTCAAGGGAAAACTCTTACTTCAAACCTCTCCCACACCCATTACGACCCTATAATCGACATCATAGTCAAAAGTGATACAAGCTTGTACGGCATTGGTATTTGCATTTTACATAAACTGCCAGATAGCGAAAATTGTGGCTCACGCATCAAGATCTCTAGTTCGATCTCGACATGCGCCAATCTCTAAAAAAAGTGCGACGCTCAGGAAGGAAAAGGAAATTTACTCAACCGATCGACGTAAATCATGAAAAGACGAAAAAGTATTAACAGTTTTATTTTTCTCTCCTTTTCAAAAAAAAAACTCTTTGGAAGGGGGGTATTGTCAGACCGGAAGAAAAATTTTTACACAATAGACTCTTCCAGGTCTATATTAAGTATACGACACAACACTCTAGACAGTGACAGAGTGACATAGAGCGCGTACGACTACCAGTATTGGACACTAACATATAGTAAGCTCCGCTTACACTATCTCTGTAACCTGTTGTTAATATATCTTTCTTACATCTAATCCGTGTTCCGTGTTTTCTTCAGTGGTCCCAACTTTGGCACCCACATCACTAACCAAACGCTTTCTGTGGCTGAATGGTAACAAGTAATGTATTTATATGGACATTTTTCCATAATTATTACGAGTTCGATTCCTGTCGGAGAGCATATATTTGCTATGAAATTTCGCGAATATTCAGGCTGGTAACTGTTTAATTAGAAAATAGACCATTTATAAATTATATCTATAAAATAATGTATAAACAGAAAAACTATCTAATCTCCGTTAGTTCTCTCTCTCTCTCTCTATATCTCTATATATATATATATATATATATATATATATATATATATATATATATATATATACATTACATTGAAATGGGCTAAGTCCGACAATTATTTAATATATTTTCTGTTCATACTTTATTTTTAATAGATACAATTTATTCTCTGTTTTTTTTTTTTTTTGTTTTTTTTGTTTTTAAATTAAACAATACTTTTACCGGCCTGAATGTTCGAAAAATTTCGTAATAATGTGTTCTCTAAAAGAAACTAAATCTTATGTCACGGAACCGTCATTTAATCTGACGTGCTATATTACTAAGCTATAAAGAATCGTCTGGTTAGCAGTACAAATTAATGTTTTTAAACACACAATCTTGAACGATTTTTCTCGATCGATCATATCTGTTCACGAAACGTACCTTAACGTAAACAATGACAATATATAATAAAATGCGCTAAGTTCGACAATTATTTAATATTTTTTGTTTATACATTGTTGTAATAGGTAAAATTAATTTAAGTAAATGCTGTTCTCTTTATTAAACAGTATTAAATCCATTTACCGGCTTGAATGTTTGAGAACGCATATTCTCTACCAAATTTCATGAACATTCAGGCCGGTAAATCTATCTATCTATCTATCTATCTATCTATCTATCTATCTATCTCAGTTACTTATCTGTGTATTTATCTGTCTAATCTCAGTCAGTTTTCTATCTAATCTCAATCAGTTTTCTATCTATCTGTCTATATATCTAATCTCAGTCATTTATCTATCTATTTATCTAATCTCAGTTTTCTAAAAATCTATCTATCTATCTATCTATCTATCTATCTATCTATCTAATGTCGATCAGTTATCTATCTAATCTCAGTCAGTTAGATATCTATCTATCTTTCTAATCTCAGTCGGTTATCTGTGTATCTATCTGTCTAATCTCAGTCAGTTTTTCTATCTATCTATTTATCTATCTATTTTATCTATTTAATGTCGACCAGTTATCTGTCTATCTAATCTCAGTCACTTATCTATCTATCTCTCTAATCTCAGTCGCTTATCTGTGTATCTATCGGTCTAATCTCAGTCATTTTTCTATCTATCTATCTATCTATCTATCTATCTATCTATCTATCTATCTATCTATGTTACAATTATTAGTACGGAAAAACATGAATTTATTTCTAGCCTCGGCTCTATAGAAATACCAGAGCCAATTAAACCCGTTGGGCTAGTAGAGACAGACCAACTAAGAAAAAAATTACTAAAGTAAATGAAAATAAATCTCAAGTCCGGGTAACATTGAGATGTGCGCAAGTTTTGCCGAGAAATACAACCTGTTATTGAAATGGTCCTCTGGCACGCAGACAGTTCACGGGAGCCAATGGTTAATAAATGAATCAAAATATCTCTCTTAGATTCGTTCTAATTTTATTCACTCTAAAAAACATTTTTACATAACTAAAACAAAAAGTAATATACCTCAGCGTATTCAGATTTATCTAATTATGTTAATATATATCTATCTATCTATCTATCTATCTATCTATCTATCTATCTATCTATCTATCTATCTATATCTAATCTCATTCAGTTATCTATCTACATATCTATCTATCAAAATATTTAATATCAGTCAGTTATCTATCTGTCTTTCTATCTGTGTATCTATCTATCTATCTATCTATCAATCTATCTATCTATATTAATCATATATATATTTGATTCCATTTCTATTTACCTAGCTCGCAGTCTTAACATAAGTGTGTAGCCACCTTTATCATTATCGTTTATTCATTTCTATATGTCTATCTCAGTCTGTATGTATTCATCTGTTTGTTTATATCCATCTGTTCACAGGTAACAATCTCAGGTTAGTCATATCTATCTATCTATCTATCTATCTATCTATCTATCTATCTGTCTGTCTATCCCTCTCTCCCTCCCTCTCTCTCACTCTCTCTCTCCCTATATATATATATATATATATATATATATATATATATATTAGTCCATCCATGACTATATTGACAGACCTCTTCATCTATTTCAGTCTGTTTATATCTGTATAGTCTATTAAGAATCATTTCTCTATTCATTTATGTATCTATATATCTGTCTTAATCAGTTCGTATTGGTTTTATTCTTTTCCTATGTCAACCCATATATATCTATCTATCTATCTATCTATCTATCTATCTATCTATTTATCTATCTCTCTCTCTCTCTCTCTCTCTCTCTCTCTCTCTCTATATATATATATATATATATATATATATATATATCTATTCATATTTATACGCCTACACGTGCCTATTTAGCATTCTATTTCCGTCTGCTCATATACGTAAATTCTATTAAAAGTTACCTTATTTCGGTCTCTTTTTATATCTATCAACCTATAATTCTCTACTTGTATCTTTTCATGTCTGAAGAGTGAAGCTAAACTTAGTATAATAAATAGCTAATATCATTTCTACCTCCAATTAGCAGGCAACTTCTACAGCTAAAGCTCGGGATTTGGCCAGCTTCATTGTCGCTAAAGTTACTTACTTTCCACGCACGTGATTTATTGCAACTCAAATTAATTGGCCTTGGGACGTACTAAACTAATCCTAATAAATAGCAAGAGGTATTTGACAGAGAAATGAGTTCGATATTCCTGAGCTGTCTCTATATCAGTAGCATTCGCGTATCTGGATTGTGTGTCTTTCTCGGAAACTAATTTTAGCCGACAGCAAATGCCAAACGAGAGAGGAAGCAAATATTAATCGAGATGTCAATTTTCAATTTGCCACATTAAAATTATTATATTATTTAAATGTTTTTCTAAGATTCCAGACGTTCTAGTTTCATTTCACTACGTCTCATTATGGGCATTGAAACGCTAGTTTCAAACAGATGACGTTATGAAGCATAGAACGATTAAATTCAAATGACCCTTCTCTTGCCCACTCATTTTTATCAAAGTTATTATAACATCATTATACAGGCACACATAGATAGATAGATAGATAGATAGATAGATAGATAGATAGATAGATAGATAGATGACTGTGATTAGGTATATAGATAAATATGAATAGAATGAAGTAGATGGATAGATAGATAGTTTTGAATAGAATGAGAGAGATTTGAATAGCATTAGATAGATAGATAGATAGATAGATAGATAGATAGATAGATAGATAGCAATAGTGAGTGAGACTAAAATGATAACCAACGTTCAGTGAAGTGATGTTACTATTTTTTAAATACCATGTCCTATCGGAATATAGAAAATTATCGCCCCACTGCAGTTTGCTGGTTTGCTTAAATAATTACGACGTATTATATCTCTTTATTTTAAGTCCACGAATTAATATCTTGTTTGCTGTAGAAAATTGATCAAGAAAAATAGCAAAATTTTCTTTCACATAATTTTTATTTTTTCTAAATACTTTCAATCAAACCTGAGATCATCTTCATTGGTTTAAAATATCTGTGGATATGTATACAATGGCTTCGTAAATTAAAAATAATTTCGTTTTCGTTTCAAATTCAAAATTTTCCATTATGCAAGGGTGGTAACTTTTGTAATTATAAAAAGGAAAAAGAAAAAGATTTTAATTATAATATTTTAATTTAGTATTTTTATATAAAACTTTTCTGCTAAAATCTTTTAAGAACTTTGTTGTCATAATCATAGTTGACTTTATTTTGCGCCGTAATTCTCTTATATAAAGGGTTTCGAGAATTTCTAGTTTTTGTTTATTATTATTTTGATGAATAATATCTGTCTAAACTGTGAATGTGGACATGAGTGGTCCTTTACATGTCCTAAGATTGAACTATGCGCATTCAAATGAAACGTAAGCCGTTGGTCAACATCGTCGTTTTAAAAGCAACATATGTATTAACATTTTTTTATCAGAGATGCAATCTCTTAAAGGACATTTAAATTGATATCAATTGTTGGTGATTTGTAAGATGTTAGTTGACGGAGAAGAATTGTATTTGACAACTAGACTGGTTGTATTAAATTTAGTATCGTATATAATACATTATATAAATTATTTAACCATACCTGCTTGAATGAAAATATGCTGTCTAAATATGCATATATATTCATATTTGGCTGAGTGTGTGTGTCTGTGTGTGAGTGTGTGTGTGTGTATACTAGTAGCATCAACCAACTATTGGCACCAACGTACTATTTACACTAACTTATATCATTAAAAAGGGAATAGGAACCACAAGTTAGTTTGCCTTTTTTAGTGACACCATGAAAAACTTTAAGTTGTGTGACAAGGATAATTATTTCAAATAGTTACATATTTCCGATTACTGCTAAGGTTGTTGGCAGATATGTTCGAATTACTTTTAGGAAGATCAGATAACAAATGATCTGAATATTATGCTTTAAGGAGACTGCAGTTTTTTTTTAAATATATTTCCAAACATGCAGGTCGATCTTATATAGGTTCGAAGTTCAAATAACAACCAAGATTTCCAATGTTGATTTCAAAGGAACACATGTTTTTCTGCTAAGAAATTAGCACTAAATAATCTTGCTTAATCTATTCCGCGCTATTAGGATCCGTGTCGCACCAAATTTAATATATATTAGCTGGTTGCTTGGAAAATGATGGGGAAATACAATTTCTTTGCTGTTCTATGTCTTAAAATCAAAAATAATTAGTCAAATTAGGAAACTGATCAAGAAACGGCCAACTAATTGATTTATTGCCGATTTTCAAATTAAGAAAAAAGAGAGAAGTCATTTTTTCTAAGTTTAATTCTTGGAGACAGAGAAATTAAAGTCATGATTCCAAGGAGCTTGCTTGCAATAAAACAGGACGAACATTTTTCAAATCATCGCAAAATGGCGGAAACAAAAGACAATCATAAGAAAAAATGATTATGATTACAAATCTTCAAAATGATGTAATGATTCATTTTTGTGTACGCCTTCAATAGAAATTTCGAGCGACAAAGTACCCTATTCCAAATCAAATCAGTCCTACTTAAATTGTCGCTATTGTTATCAGTTATCAATTGACACAGTCACTAATAATTATCTCTATTTAAGTATAACTTCAGAACGTAAGTAGTCATGACTCTCAACAGCTTCCTTTTCCTAAACTGTTCTTGAGAAATATAGAGAACTTAGTTCCGGTTGCCTTCTCCGTAATTTTAAATTTAGAATTATCCTTCGAAACTGTCCTGTTATTTACATAACAGATAGACGGAAAATGGGTGGATTCGTGCCTTTTCCAAGGTTATTAGTGCGAAGAGAACACAACTGTCTGAAAATAGATTTTGAACATATTTCGCTGACTCAATTTTCAGCACTGTTAAGAAATAATTATCTATTAATCCAGAAGGTGGCTAAAGTCTTTTTTGTAAAGCTTGAATTTTAATAATTTATACAAATTATTCGGTATATGCAAAGTTTTCTAGCGTAAAATGGATTTCAATTTCGATTCAATTTGTCGTTGTCCATTAACAGCAGCGGAGACTTATACGCACTACATCATACAAAAACGCAAATGAAGCACAGCTCTTTCGTGTTTCCTTGTAAAAGCGTTCAAAAAGGCTTCGTACCTGCTGAGGATATCATGGATCGAACATATGAACAACAACGAAGAGGTTTTGATTTGCTTGAGTAAATGGATAGTAGAACAGAGTTAGGGGGCGGAGAAATAACAAAAATATAAAGCTTATTAAGAGCTACAATAGATAGGATGATGTAGAGGGTCATGATCGCCTACATCACATCAGCTAAGAACCTTAGTGCCACTCTCCTGAAGGAAGGTAAAAAGAGTTCTTCAGATGATTAGAAGAGAGCAGTTTCAGTTTTGACAGAATACATGGTTATCAACAAAAGGATGAGCCCAAATTGCAAATACTAAATCGGGGATACTAAAATGAAACAAGTACAGAAATTTAAATATCTAGGAAGTGTTCTAACTGAGGACGGAAAGTGCGGCACTGAGATCCGAAGACGTATTGGGATGGCCAAAGATAGATTCCAAAAGCGAAGCAGGGACAGAGAAATTTCGTTAGAAACGAAGAGTACAGGAGTGTTAGGTGTCCTCGTGTATGACAGCGAATGCTGGACAATCTCCTCAAAGTTGAAGAAGAGACTTGAAGCAACAGGAATGTGGTTCTACAGAAAGATGCTGAGGATACCATGGACCGAACATGTGAGCAACAAAGAGGTTTTGGTAAAAAAAATGGAAACAAAAAAGGAAACTTATACTTAACATCAGGAAGAGAGAGTCGAAATTTCTGGGGGCGTATAATGAGGAAAGAAGGAAATCTGATGCAGGACAGATATAGTGAAAGCAGCGCATAACACACTTGATTTTCTCGAGTAAATGGATGGTAGAACAGAGTTGGGGGGGATAACAAAAAGAAAATAATGTATTAAGAGCTACAAGGGACATTTGGAGAGCCATGATCTCCTACGTCCTACAGACACACGGCACATAAACGAAGAAGACGGTTTAGATGAAGATTCTTAACCTTTTTTTTCTTTTCTTCGTACGGTTTAGATAATGCTCCTTAACCATCTCTTTTCCATCGTCCTTTTCAAATAAATATGCGGGTCGTGGCCCCCTACATTCAAATTGCACAGATGATTGGAGCAGAGTTTATGAACCAGATTTAATGCTCCGTTCCGTTACAGGAGCGCCACTCACTGGAAGTCAGATATTGCTGGAAC